TGATCACCTTGGTTTTTGGTGCCATTCATGCAAGTTTTTAAATGAACCAATTGCGAACGTTTGTGCGACATATATTTATTTTGCTTCGTCCGAATAAATATAAATCATCAATATAAATTTTTGCTAATAATTAAATAAAGCATGTATGTATCTATTTGGGAAAATAAATTAACAAACTTGTTACGTTTTTTTCTGGACGCGATCATTACTTGTAAACAACTGATGTCGCCGCTTGAGGAATTGTGCAGCTAAAATCAGCTGATTGTACGTGCTGACGTTTACTTAATAATAGCTCTTCAAAATTCCTATTCATTTTGTAATAATAAATATATATTATGCATATGTAATAATATGTAGATTAATAGATTTTTTGGTTTCTATTTTTCAACATCCTTGCCAATGATGCACGTTACAAATGTGCCACGCCCACTTCACATTGGCGCGCCCTGTTTAATTTTCAAACCGTGGAGAACCCTGAGCAGCCAGTGCAAATTGTTTGTCGTCTTTCACCTCGAGCTCACGCCAATCTAAACACTGACATTGTTTACTGTAAAATACTTTATTTTAGCTGGATTTAATTTTCGCTGAATAGGCTTCTTTTGGTGTTTTGTATGTAATTTATTTTCACTGATTTTTGGACAAGTTTAATGTAAAATATAGGAAAAAAGGTATATTCGCTGGATTTTATTTTCACTAAAACATTCGTTCAGCGAAAATAGAGAAAATTGATTCCAAGTGAAAAGTATTCCACAGAATTAGCAGCATGGCATTATAAAACAAATTTCTAGTTACATGTCGTAAACATCAAGCAGTTTTTTTCAATAAATCTGGGAATCTTTTGATCACTTGAAATGATAAACATTTCATTTCTGTAACAGGGACAATTTTCAGCTACATGTGACCTAGAAAAACTTTTCTGTTCTATGATTGCATGAATGTTATTTGTAGAGAGAACTATGATTTCAAATTGTATAGCTACACTGTATGCAGTGATCTGGATATGTATAAAGGTTTCTTGTACTGGTTAATCACTGTGCTGCAATAAGAATCAAGATCAAGAATCTGTCTATAATTGTCAGTTACATGTATAAGCTTTCTGTTAAGAGTGACAATCTTTTCATTTTAACCAAAACAAAATTTTAATTGATTATCTATTTTTCATCAATTTCAAAGTTAATGACCAAGCACACCATTATGTCTTAAGGAGAACAATTCACAGCTGAATCTCAGATATGCTGAATATATTGAAAAAGTTCATAAACTTGTTTTACAAGCCAGTCAGGTAAGGAATTATTACAGAACTTACTTGACATGACTTAAGCCTTCTTGATATGAAACATTTACTTATCAAATATGCGATTCTATTAGAGATGCAAGTTATTAAACTGTTTTCATTGAAACTGAAATAAGCTTTTCGCATGTATCCGTGCAATGAATTTAAAATTATAAATTAAATAAGCTTTGATTGTAATACAGTCTGGTGTTAGATTAGCACAATTACTGTACTATGTATGACTGCTAATCATGCACCAACAACGGCAGATTCATTTTGTATGGTCCATGTAACCATAGTAACAATTACCATTGCATATGGTCTGTTCAATACATGTATTTAAATGGCTGTAGTGGTTAAGCTGTGTTGTGTTCAATATGGGACCCATAGTGACGTATACAACAAGTGTAAAATAAATTTTATGGGGGGTTATTTTGTGAAAGGTGAAAATTGTCTTTGTAATTGAAAAGCCAGTTGAGGTTGAATTTTAAATTTAGACACTGTTATAATACTATTGTATACATGATATACATTAATTTACTAAAAGCTTCTTTGTATGAATTTGCTATTTGTTTTAGAGAATTGTGCACATTTGCACGTTTCACACATTGTCCTATGTTTTTTTAGTTACATCAGCAGGTCTATTTTTCAGTTGTTTTGTGTTCCCTAGTTACGACAGGTCTATTTTTCATATTTCATAATCGACTCAAATACTATTGTTCTATGCACACATAAATTTAGTGTTTTCGGTAACTGTAGCTACCCATATTTTATGCAAATGAGCTCAAATTTATTCATTTTTTATGCAAATTAGCCAATGGTGTAATTTTTCATTTCATGTACTTATTTTTATGCACTGAACGTTAATTTAAAGAAAATATGAAAATTAACTTATATACATTATCGGCAATCCATGCTGGCCAGCAAGTTCCCCTTCATACGTTACAAGGGGTATTTGAGTATGCAAATGAGAAGTTTTAAAACACATAAAAATAAAATTGGCGTAGATTGAGTTTAAAACCCATTTATTTTGTACTTAATAACACAAATAATAATACTATTGATGTACCAATAAATGATTTTGGGTCAGAAAATAGCATGCATTTCACAGGCACTTAAAGTGCATGTTTTCTTAACCCTTTTGTCTGTGGTAAATAGCTGTAAACAAACAACTATTGAGACAATACATTTTCATGATACATACCTCCAACAACACACATCTTGAACTGTTCTCTGAACTCTGGAATGTGCTGCAGCTCATGGTAGAACTTCCTACTAATGTCCCTTATTCTTGCAGAGTCTTGATAATTCAGAAACCAACCAAAGAACTGCGGCATCACATGTTCAAAGCTGATAACCTTCTTCTGTAGAACATCAATCGATACATTGTGTTTGTTTTTCATGGCAAGCTCAAGTGCGTTAAATCGCCAAGCAGTTTTTGGTTCCACTAAGACGACTGTATAGTTAGCTTGATTAGCTAAAGATACATAGAACTTCATTTCCCAGCTACGTACATTGGTATTATCAATGATGACAACATTAATTCCTTTCTCACATGCATCTTTGGCACAGGCCTGACATTTTTCATGAACAGCTTGCAAGTCTGCTTGTACAAAGACGTATTGTCCGTCCACCATGCGAAAATCATCAGCAGAACATATAATAGAATTCAAGTAAGTTTCTCTGATGACGTCAGCAATGACTGATTTACCACTTCCCGGCAATCCTCTCATGATGAACATTACTTTCGACTGCTTTATATGTGCAATGGTTTTAGGGTCCCTTAAAAATGAGTAGTTGAGGCACGGGTCTGTATTCATGGTGAGGTCGGCATTACAGGCTGCGGCTTCCGAATGAAATTCATCCACTGATGAATATGATGTACATGTTTTTACAGCAGGGGAAGCTGCTTTGATTCGGGGCTTGCCATCCACCTCTGATGAATCTACGCTTCTCCTTGGTTTCCTACCCCTGCCATAGTACCACGATTTCATGTTTGGCAGTACATTAAAAACAACATATGCTGCAGCCAGTGTTGCAACTGTGGTGACAACAGCAGTTTTTATAGTTAGAGACACAAGCTGGTCGGGTCCCATGACGTTTTGTGGTTATTTTTATCTCAAATATATGACAGATTGTTAACTAATTCCTAGGTTGCCTCGGGTCAGCTGTCACACACTCGAAAATGAATTGTTGTCAACGCGACACGTACCAGCACCGGTAAGTTAAAACGTAAACAACGAGGTTATAAAGGTACAGAGTACGGGGTTATATATCTTGTGCACGTTTCCTATCTGGGAATTTACTTACTTAGTTGCGTATATCTTGTGCAATATCAATCTTGTTGACTACTACTCGCTGTACCGGGAATTTACGGGTGAGTCACAAGCTATCCCAGGTCATGATATAGCGCCACCAGGTGTTGACTACAAATCCGATCGAACTTTTAACAGTGCCATCGAGATAGACCGAAAGTTTAAGTTTTTGCTATGTTTAAAATGTCAGGTACCACATAGGCGAGTTACAGAGATCGTGTTGGCTGGGAGAGTCGTTTCAGTTTTAAAGCCTCGTTACTTCCGGGTTATGGTAACAAACAACAAACACACAAACCTTTTAACATGGCCGCCCTTGTAGGTTAAGCAGTCGCCGTATTCCAGCAATTTTCTTCTTTCCTCTACATTTCTGTAAGTTTGTGATTTTCAAAGAGTATAATGAGTGAATTTATTGACCAAAACAACCACTGTCTGGTTGAATATCCGTTGAACGATAACACAGCGCAATCAAAAGCAGCCGAATTTCTCCCATGTCGCTGCAAAGAACCGGCGTCGACATCACTGGTCCAGGAAAAACACGGTCTCAAAGCACTCCCATCCCAGGATGAAATGAACGAAGCGAAAACAAATTATGACACCGGCATTCTGAATAACAAGCTGCAAGTAGTCGTAGCCTTTTCTGATTTTAAGGCAGTTGATGATAACCAGGTACGTGTCGCGCGGATAGACTAAACCATCGAAGAAGAAGTGACACTCAAACAAAAAAATACCAGTTGCCTTATAATTATAATTAAGATATCATTAAGATACCTTTTCTTTGTTTGTTTTTCTAACCTTTCAGACCTTGTTCTCTTCTTTTAATTTTATTATGCTTTCTTTTGGTTTTCATTTGTATTTTGTCTTGCCATTTTGAATGTATCTGAAACTTTATTGTATTTTAAATATCTTAATCCTATTAAAACAGTATTATTTCAATAAAGTCATTATCATCATAGACCATAAACAGTTTAGTTAAATATGGCCTTTTATCGATGGGCTATCAAGAAACATATTGACTTTTGGCAATGGAACAAAATTGTCTTTTCTGTGACTAGCCTATAACATTGGTCTCTAGCTAAAAGCGTCAGTGATGGATTTACTTGGCGATGTTCAAATAAGTATTGAGAAAAATATTGAAACGATTCTCAATTAAACATAGATCTTTTTTTTCTAAGTCATGATCACGTTTGGATATTCTTTTAAAATGGGCTGCGGACTACCTGACAAGGAAGATTAGCACTGAGACTGGAGTGTCTTGTCAGCTGGCGTGTGAATTGTGCAGTACCATGCTCATTGGTGAAGACATTGAGTTGAGCGATCCAAACACTGGTTGAAATAGACATTCATTCAGTTCAGTCAACATCATCACAAAAGGGGCCCAGCAGAGGAAAGATGGGTGTTTAGTATAGTGGATAGGTTTTTTAATCCATCTATGGTTATGGTTTTTTCCAAAATTGAAAATGAGTCAATTCACAGATTATACAAATGTTGCTATGGATTTTTTTTTCTTTCACTGTGGCTGATTTCCAGAGATAGGAAATTCTTTTTATTCAAAATTCCATAAAATATTGTCATTAAAATTCATTGTGACAAAGTTCCACTCATTTCTTGAAAGCTGAATTTGGACAAAAATCTTAAATGTGTCTTGTTTTTCTCTAGTTAAGTTTTTGTAGAGGAGATGAAATGCAAATTCTATATAAGCCCAATTCTGATTGGTGGTGGGCTGAAATCCATGGCAATGAGGGATATATTCCAACCAATCACATTACAGAAAAGACCAGAGAAGAATGGGAAGCAGACAGATGGCAGGATGTGGAATATTTCGATAGCTATGCTGATTTGGTAAGCTTTGTCATAAAAACAAAAGCAAATGCTGTCATGGTCACTGATGGCAGTTTTACCAAGAATTTCCAATTTCCATCATAATAAATCATGAAGACGGTCATGGTGGGGACTATGATTCCATGAGGTAGCCCTAAAATAAAATTTTTACAATCAGAGAATTTCGTGGCATTTGAGAAGTCACTTTGCGAAACTCCAGAGAAATTGCTGCAAAATTTTAAGGTATTCACTGACTTTTAAAATCTTAGAAAAAATTGCCTTACAAAGTTGAAGTAGTTTTTCAGATTTCTTTAACGTTTATAGGTTTTATTTTAACACAATTTTGTTTTATGATGTTTATCACTAAACCCAGATAAAAATATATGGTCACAACTATAAAATGTTCTGTAAAAAAAAAAAAAAGTTAATGACATAGAACATGATCATAATTATTTAGCATTTTCAAAACAAGAACTTGTGGTAAATTGTTTTGACCCTATTTATTGGGTTGAACACCCACAATCTGTTTTCAAGCAGTTTAAAGTATTTTCAATCTTACCTGAAATGCAGGGATTTTGGCAGAACAGCTAATTTTAAACAGTCACCAGTCCAGCTGTTTAATCAAATATTAATATTTATACAAGTACATGTATAATAATAATACTGTATTTTCTATATTCCATGTGTATACGCTTATGCAAATGACAGACATCGTTTGAGATCAATGAAGATATATACTTTCAATATAGCAATATTATATAATTTTTTTTTTAGAAACTACATTTGGAGATGTTAAGTGATAATGCAAGGACCAATGCATACAAAGATGCTATTATACAGAACGCAGAGTCCTTGTCAAACAAGGTGAGTTTTGTCGCACATATAACTAATTTGTTTTCACTCTTTTAAATGTAATGTTTCTATTTTTCTTTCTTTCTTATTTTTCTTTAATGTGTCCTTTTTTTCTTCAAAAATAATTAGTCCCCGTAGAACCTTGATGCACGTAATTTTTTTTTTTCGGATCAAATTCGAAATGGCCGACTGGCGGCCATTTTGTTTTAAAGAATTTAGTTCTGGATCCGTATCCGAGACATGTCTGGATTGATCAAGTTCAAACTACACACACACAAGGTACATCATGTCACAAATATGTATGTGCATTTGTTTCATGATCCCATTAACGATAGCTAAATGGCGGCTGCTTTAAGGCCGAAAATGCATTGAAATTGCACATTTTCACCATTCCGAACCCGGATCTCAGTTATGCATGGACGGATTTCGTTCAAATTTGGTACTTACATTAAACATAATAGGACCTTGATGCACGTCATTTTTTTTTTCCGGATCAAGTTCGAAATGGCCGACTTGGCAGCCATTTTCTTAAAGAATTCAGTTCTGGATCCGTATCCAAGACATGTCTGGATTGATCAAGTTCAAAATTCACACACACATGGTGCATCATGTCACAAATAGATATGTGCATTTGTTTCATGATCCGCTTAACAATAGCTGAATGATGGCCATTTTAAGACCGAAAATGCATTAAAATCACGTATTTTCACAATTCCGGAACCAGATCTCAGTCATGCATGGATGGATTTTGTTCAGATTTAGTACAATGTGTTGTACATATGCAGGTGCATTTCGGTCATGATCTGCTTTGAATGTATATGTCACTCAAATATGAACGGAACGGGGACGTGTCATTGACAATGACTTGTTATAGTTTATGTTTTGATTCAATAGCAAAAGTTTTCATGTTATGCAAGTTTGAAATTGAATGCATTAATTGACTATTGTGATGGATGAACTCATGAATTATTAATCACACTAGTTTTAAGATATTATTTTAAGTACTGCTCTGCTACAAAATGGTCAGTTTTATGCATCATTTGCTGAAAGTCTGCGGATAATTGATATGAATTGACATTTCTTTGGATCATCTTGTGATGCAATTTTTCTGAAATGTTTTGACTATTCTTCATATTTAATTCATGGTACATTTTTTTTTTGTGTGAAAAATCAATCAAACAAAAACAACAAAAAAGAAATAAAATCAAATCAAAGTATACATGTACTGCATGTGTGACTTGAACATTGTGCTTGTGTGCAGTACGAATTTACTTTGTTTTGATGTAGTATTTATCATGCCGTTTATTTGGTTTTATTTGCCTGCTTTACTTTCTATGTCTACAGCTACTATGAGTTTACAATTACTAGTATTTCTCATTGATAAAAAATTGTTCTTCTTGTAGGTAGTTGTAGATGTTGGCTGTGGTACAGGTATTCTAAGTCTTCTGTGTGCTAAACATGCAAATGTCAAACAGGTATGCACCAATAGACCATTTTATGTTCACTGCAAGATTCTACATTATGCTTGAAATCAAAAAATAAAAACAGGACAAAAAAGGGTTATAGCATCTGTCACAATTAATAAGGTCAGGTCAAGTATTAACTCAAGACATCCAATAATATGAGGTTATTACGAGAATATGCACTCAGACTGACGTGCATACTTTGAGGTATTCTCGTAATATCCTTATTATTATACATCTTTTCCTTCCAAGGATACACCATGGGAATGTCGAAATCCAAAATGTTTAGAACAGAACCAGCGAACTTCTTTGTGTTATATCTGGTCAAACTCTGGTGGCAACCATGTTTGTTTTCATTATTATAGAGGATGCTTACAAGCATAATCAGTAAACTTGCCTGGAAAATGATAAGTTCAACAAATTAACAAGCATAGTATAATACCTGAGAGCCCAGGACTAATTAGTATAAGTGAGTGGGGCTTTTCTTACCACTGGTTACTACTGTGAGATAACTGTGATTGCTTGAGTTCAATGATTTTGACAATCAAAAGCAGATTCATTTAATTTGTTGTATAGAATGAAGAAGAATTTCTACACTGATCAGTTCCTGTACATCATTGGCTTCTTGTCTTTTGGTTTTTAATAATTCAACTACGAGTTTGATGCAGAAAAAAAAAGTTGAAATATTCATCATCCACTATTGCAATGTGTACAATTGAATGTATGATTGTTTCTGCTGGGGTGACTAGACCAGAGTCAGCATTTTACATATCATAATACTCACAAGGCATGGTATGGGATGTACACAGATGACTATCAACACATACTACCTTGGACTAGTAAACAAAATTCCTAACCTAGTCTTCTCAAGCAGAAATAATAGTTTACTCCTATTGTTTTCTAATTGTTCTACTAGGTGTATGGGGTTGAAGCAAGTGATATTGTCCATCACACTCAACACCTGATTGATCAAAATGGTCTGACTAATAAAATAACTATCTTTAAAGATAAAGTTGAAAATATTACTTTACCTGATAAGGTGGACATTATTATATCAGAATGGATGGGGACACTGTTATTGGTGAGAACTTATTTGTCATTCATCAAGTAGGCAGTAATAAAAACAAGAAGTTAATAGAATTACCAATAGTGCTATGTTTTAAAGTGTTAGCATATTTTTATGATTTTTAAAATAATTAATTTCAGAATTGTTATTCCCTTATTATGTTGCAGTTTGAATTGATGATAGAATCAGTACTACTTGCCAGAAATCTGTGGCTCAAAGATACAGGCGTAATGTGGCCATCAGATGCATCTCTGTATCTGGTTCCTTGCAGTGCAACGGATGAATACAATAAAAAGATAGCATTCTGGGATTGTGTTTATGGTTTTGATTTTTCTTACCTCAAGTAAGTTTCTATATTTTTGTTCAATAATTTGTAGTGACTTACAGAATGGGGCTTATGGTTTGGATTCCATCAGTGTGAATATCCATTGTCACTTTTCAAACATGTCTTGTTCAAAGTTGAATGACTGGAGGCTATTTTTGTTTCAAGAAACACCAACTGTTTTTCAGCCATGTCTTGTAAGATTTTATTCAAACTTGGTACTGACATCAACGTTGTGACGACTTCAATTTAACTTTACACCGACTTGTGATGACAGGACCTACATTGTGACGACCCTAACTATTTTCATAATTTATATTAATATTTAATCAAATTTAAGTCAAGTTTGTGAAGCTTAGGTTTAGTAAAGGGGGAAGGTATGTGGTTCAATTTATATTTCTATATATATTAATATAATTGTACCATACCTTCTCCCTTTACTAAACCTAAGCTTCGCAAACATTTCTATGTTCAGTCATGGGATATTCAACCTTTATTTAATTAAACTTAATTAAAACACAATTCTACATTGAATTGCATTGTAATGGAGTTTAATTAACACATTGCATATATTTAAAGTTAATTCAATGTGTGTCGTTACAACAACGCTAAGACATGTATGTGTGTGTGTCTGTGTGACTGTCCGTTCCACTGATACCTCAAGAACCAAATGTTGGTTTTTAATGAAACTTGATTAGGTTTCGGTTGAAATCCATGCATATTAATTACCTAATTTGTCTGATAATTAGCTAATTTTTAGCTAAAGAGCTACTCATTGGATTTTGATGAAACTTGGTACATAGATGCTCTGGACTAATGCACAGACATATATGTAAATTATTAATTACCTAATTTGCATAATTATTCAATTTTTCTGCTTTTGATATTTCAAATACTATTATTTCATTACTTTTCAATGAAGCTTGGTACATAGATGATCTAGAACAATGCAGAGACCTGATTATTTTTGGGTAAAAATGTGTGCATATTCATCAACTAATTTGTATAATAATTCATTTGGTTCATTGACTTAATTCACAGACATGTTAAGTTTAATGTTGATAAACATGCATATTGTTGATTATCTATTATTAGCCTATTTCTGATTTCTAAAAAAAATCTGATTTCAATTGAATTCTTCACAGAGGTGCTCTGGAATAAATTAGACTAAAAACCATGAATGAAAAATCAAATGTAGTACAAAAGTAAAACGTAGTGGGTCGAGTGCCATGTTATTTTGGGATTTCAGTAAGTCAGAAAAAAAATCCAGTCACTAAAAACTGAATGATATCATTGACAATGACTGTTTTTTTTTTTAATATTACAGAAGTTTTGCAATGCAAGAGTATTTTGGAAAACCTGTTTTTAATCATGAATTAAAGTCTACAGATTGTTTGGATTCACCACTGTGTGTACTTAAAATGAAAATGAAAACTTTCCAGATTGATGAGTTAGAGGTGAGTGTCACTTGTCAGTCAGTATGTAGAGGAATGAACAGACTTTGAAATAAATGGATCTAGGTAGATATTAATATTCATGTTTAAAAGTCAGTAAGTTTTTATAACATTATATGGAAAATATACTGCTATACCAAAAAAAAAAGAAAGTGTAAAGAATAAATCGTTCTCTCATTTCAGATCTGTTTCATGAGAAAATTTTGCACATGGAACTTATCCAAGCTCTGTTGTTAAATTAATTCATGTACTTATTCCGGTCATTTCATTGGCTATAACCACATTGTGGCTGCTCCAAGAGCTACATTGTACTTTGCACTCTTCCACAAATAGTCCTTAAATACTGTAAAACCATTTCATTTCCCTATTTTGAGCATATTCACGGTGTTTTTATTTCACAAATTTATTGTTATTTTGCATGTTCACATAGATTTAATTTAGCAGATTTTACTTATCAGTGAAATTAAAACCCAGTGAATAATTAATGCATTTAAAATACATGATCATATTTGTAATACCATTTGACCTTTGACATTTTTATTTGCTGGCACGAGGCTCACATCTGTGTGCATGATCAATTACATCTGTACTGTTGTCCATTTATAAGGTGAATTGCTATTGTTTTCAGAAAAATTATGTCTTATAAAATTGAAAGGATTGTGAGTGTGGTAGATTACAATGCATGGAATGAAAGGCTTGCTAGATTTGTTTCTCAGTTGAATTTGATGATTTCCTTGCAAAATGATTTAGTAGATTTAAACAAATTTGCCATTTCATAGTACCGGTAGTCCTGCAGTATTTATGTACCTGTTACATGTGCCTATTTGTTTGAACAAACCCTTAGCTGATAACGGTTGGTCTTGTCACTTTTACTCCCTCCCCCCAAAATATGACAAATTAACCTCGTTCTTGAAAATATTTGAGATTTTGGTATGTAAGCATGCTGGTTGGCATAAATGTGAACCAGCATGAATTGTTTTGTCCTTAAAAAAAAAAATATAGTTACTCTTGTACCCATTGGTTTATTATTAAAGTATTTTTGATGATATTTTACTATTAGCTGTTTTTTTTTGTTTTTGCTTATTTTGTTGATTGCATAATTTGACTTATTTTGTTGATTGCCAAATATGTTAAACCCAGTGACTATGCAAAATAAACAACAGAATGTACAGTTTCTTTCACAACATCTGTGCAACATAAAATTTGTTTAAATTGAACCCAGTGAATATTTCCTCCTATACAGTACAGTACCATTTAGGGGGAAATCTCATGACTTGCAATCCCATAATGCAGTGTTATCTAAAACGCAATCCTTCTTCTTTCTCTTCTAAATGATGTTCCATATTACTCGCTGTGATTGATCATCACATTCATAGACCACTTTCCCGGAAGTTGAAAAAAAACACATTTTGCATGCGCGCACATACCGTTTTGGGGTGTAACTTAAACTTGCATGCGTGATATTGTGCTTCTGAGTTTACCAATCGACGTCACAAAAATAAAATTCCCTTTTATCTTTGACTTCCCTTTTATCAGCAAACTGACATGTTTGTGTTTTCCACCATGACAAAGCAGGCATTTTTCTGCACCCCAGTCTGGCTACTTCCGGGAAAGTGGTCTATACACTTGAAGAATGTTAAAATGTCTGCCACTAGAGGGCAGTATACTCCATTGCACCATACATGTATACTGTAAAGGGGGTAATTATTCACTGGGTTTTAATTTAGCTTATTTCGCTGACTGGAAAAATGCGCTAAATTAAAACACCGTCAATATGTAAAATTTAGCATAAAACACATTATCTTAATGACGAAACCGTGAATTTAAAACCCACTGAATATGCCTGAAATGGTAAATCAGTGAAATTTAAACCCAGTGAAAATTAGTCATTTTACAGTATTTGATTTTAACATACAACCATGTGTATATTTTCAGGAAATTGTTAAAGAGTTCAGTTTTAAAGTAACCAAAAAAAGTACATTTCATGGATTTGCTTCCTGGTTCAGTGTGGATTTTGGTGGATTTAACAACCAAAATACTGTCACTTTGGATACCGGCCCCACCAGTAGGCAAGTACTTGACTGCTTTTTAGATAATAATCATATACTTATCATTTAAAGGAATTAACCAGAATATATAGGGGGGGGTTAAGTTACTAGGGATGAACCATAATATATCGGAGGGGTAAGCTAATAGGAATGAACCATAATATATATATGGGAGGGTTAAGTTACTAAGGATGAACCATAACATATGGGGGTGGGGTGGGGGGTTTGGTTAAGTTGCTAGGGATGTACCATAATATATGGGAGGGAGGGTTAAGTTACTAAGGATGAACCATAACATGCCATAACATCGCAATCCATGCCAGGTAACAACAAACTATGTCTGTGTTATATCCAGATTCCATGACAAAACTGGATTCCACAGTAGAATTATATAGTGTTTGGTGCAACAATTTGCACATTCATGTAGTTTTATACATTTTTTTTGTAAATTTTTAAACAATGGCGGTGGTTTTCCATATTTTCGAGTCTTGATCAAAAACTAATTCTGCAGCATTGTTTTGTGAATATAAACATAAAGAATTTCCTGAATGTCAAATAAGTCTTGAAATTAGTTTGAATAAATTGATATTAGGGTTACAGTATTCTTACTCAATTGTTTTCTAGATTGACTCATTGGAAACAAGATTTATTTATGATGAATGATGCAGTGCAGGTAACTGTTGGCGATAAAATAGAGGGCAGTATTGTTATAAAACGCAATGCAGAGTGGAGACGACATCTTGTGGTCACGTTCAAGTATCAAATGATTTTCCATTGTGACCAAAATATCAAGGTATATTGAATACCATGTTTACTTTTCATGTAGTGCAATCATTTGTATACATGACATGTGACATATAAATGACATGAATTTATGGTTTATGTGCTATCTATTAGGGAT